CGTTGTTTTCCAGGTTCAAAATGTTTGTTAAGGCTTCAGCCTTCAAGGACTCAACTTCTATGGTGATGTGAAATTCCAATGTGTCTTTTCAATCCTCATAGGATTCCGTATCTGGCTTCCTTTCTTTCTATCTATGTGCTCTGTTATTTTGTGGTATGAACTCTGAATGGATGGTTTGTGTCTTGTGTTGTATTAGCTTTCATCCCCTTGTGTTGGATGGTTTGTTCTGTTTTCCTCAAAGGGCAATATTTCAATAAAATCAGCGATGCAAATCATAGTTATTAAACTAATCCTTTTGTTTACATTTCAGTCTTAGCTATACAATACTATACCCATTTTCGCTTGTCATCATATTTGAATTTGAGGCTTCTACTATGGAAATCCTGTAGAAACAAGAAATTGTGTTAGTACAAAGTTCCATTAAGTAAACTAAGACCTAGAATTTAAGTTAAAATCAATCCATAATTCCTTATAACTAGTGAACTTAGGCCATAAAAACTCAGACTAATACTATAACTCACAAATAGATAACTGAAATACAGTCAAATTCTCAATTGAAATACAATTCCTTTTGACCTGCCCAAAATAGCCATTTAAAACGCAAAATCCGAAACAAATGAACTCATTTAAACTAATGAACTCATTTAAACTAAAATCTACCGGTAACAAACAAGTTTCAATCAACCATTTCAAGCTAATTTTGTTAAGTAACGCAAAACTCAAAATCATTTAAAAGATATGAATGATAACAATGGGACAATGAATTTCAGTTTAATACTAAATCAGATCCTGTTGAAGATAAACATTGTGATTCAGGACCTATATTAGCACAGGCAGAATGCCACCAAATGCCTAAAATCAAAACTACATTGAAAAAGAGGGATGAGAATGATACAAAATGAAATATATGAAAGATCGATGAAAAATTCCAAAAACTGCGAATCTGTAAATTATAACCAGAAAAGAAAGAAAGAAAAAAGCTATGAAAATGCAGAAAAAATGATGCAAAATGAGGAAAGCACAAAATTACATTCAAGACTTTTCTCCAATTTCATCCCAAAAAAATTAAGGTTCTGTTAAGCATTGCAAAACTCTTCTACATGTTAAGTATAAGAATAAAAGATAAATTGGGTTTTTGGTCAGCGAAAAGCCTTTGACTAGCAGTTTGGCGATATGCATTTTTATCAATGAGACAGAAAGAATAAAGAAGGAAAAACCACAAATAAAAGAATAAGCCTCATTTAGGCTGTTCCAAATGTCATTAATTGCCCTGCCTAGAACTGTTTGTTCTGAATTGCAATTCGAACACATAAACTCATCTCCATTTACATAATAGGAGCAAACAACAAAGAGCAAAAAATTCATTGAATTAGCCAAGCGAAGAGCTCCAGGGTCATCCATATCTTTGCCCCAAAAATAACAGATTTAGAATCTGCTAATCCACAGACACAGCAATAAGTCAGTACTCAAGAAAACTAAGTTTCTACCCCTGAAAACTTGTAACATGATAGTGCTATATTATGTACAAAGTTTGAGTTAAGGGACACCAAGGAAATTAAATCATAACTGA